GCTGTCCCTTTGCGCAGATACTATCGAAGGCATTCCAGTGATTACCTCAAAAACGGAGCACCTCTTTGTTGCCCTTGCTCTCTTGTGAGAATTATTTCTGCTGTCCCTGCTCAGTGCTGACACTGTGCAGACCCACGTCTGGGTTTTCTCAAACACTTACTGGATTTCGGGAAGGGATCTAACATAGCTCTGCTCACACAAGGATTTTGTATCCTCAATTAAATATTCTTTAAGGCATACCATCTCTGGCAGAGCCGAATTGTAATGTATTGTGTTACAGAATGGACAGACTTTTATATATTGGCTGCAGCTTGAATGTTAAAAAGGAAAAAATGATAGGTGTTGACTTGAACAACCTTCGTATAAAGGTTTCCTAACTAAAGGAGGGTTCTAGATTTATATCAACCCCCAACTTTTCCTTCCTTTGTGTTTACTGAGCTTGACTACCTGAGGGCAAAGTCCCCTGACAAATATCAGTGAGGAGAATTTTATTTATATATTCTGTTGACTGTGTGTCCATGTGTCCATGGATTTCCAAATCCATTTTCCCATCCAATTAAAAATCACCAAGTTATCTACACACAGCAGAATTAGGACGATACCCACTAATCATCAAAATTTAAGAGTTTTACATTTTACAACAACTTAAAAGAACAAAGCCCTCATCCACAAACTTTATATGGATTTCCTTTTAAACAACTAATTCTGAGAAAACACAAGACAAGTGGAGACAGAAATCCATTCGTCTAGACCAGGGATTCCCAAAGTGTGGTGCGGGGCCCCCTTGGGGTGCACGAGTGGAAACATGTAATGGTGGTCAAATGGAGTAATAATTCATATTAACTCATTTGTAAAATATGTTTTTTACACAAAATAGAGACATGACTTGTAAAACTTCCCTTTGCAAGATTACAATTTAAAATGTACAATTTAATAAACAAATAAATAAATAGCGCCTCCTTTTACATACACACTAGATAGCGGTTAGCTGCACAAACTAGGCGAACGTTAACTTTTGGATTGGCTAACTTGGATGAAATCGGGAAACTTTCAGATGGACATCTGAAGCTATCAGTCGCAAGAGAGACGAGGGACAGTGTCCTGATTCGGAATTAATATGATACAATGTTGTAGTTGCCCTTTTCGGTCTGTGTTCACATTGCAACATTTAACAGCGGACTAAATATTCCAATTAACAAACATCCCCCGTTAGCAAACTATTCTGTCATTGGTCCAAATTTAATGCAGCTATAAATTTACCTTTTCTTTGTAAGTGTGGGGGTATGGGGGTGCATGAACCCAGTTGGGATGTAGAAGGGGTGCATGGCCTAAAAGGTTTGGGAACTGCTGGTCTAGTCCATTGTATCTTTTATTCATGTTTTTACAATTTCAAGTGCTTTTGAGTACCTTTTTTAAGCACTATACAAATAAAAGGTATTTTTATTATCATATATAAACAAAACAATATAATAAAACAAATTAGAGTACTTTAAAAACATAGCCAACTGGAATGCTATTTGGCCATTATCACTGTCCTTATCAAGTCCAGGTGGCAGAATACCAGTGTCTAAGTTAAAGTAGTTAAAAACTTTGGGATATCTTGTTAAAAACTAAGGTCTATCTTAACATCCAGGCTTTTAGCTGCGTGGAGCTCAGGGGTCCGTTTCAAGTAGGAGGTTTAAAAACTCTGAGTTGATTTACCCTGAGATGGGAAACAGCTGTTTAGAGTTGGTTCAATCAACTCGGAGTAGGTTGACTCAGAGTTGAGCGCGTGCACCACCAAGTATGAGGGCAGCATGAATGGAGCCATGATACTACGAGTCACCATGGCAAGCACCACAAACAATATATTCATCCCTATTGAGCTGGAAAATCAATGCAACGCTGTTTGTTAGAATGCACTACACACCAATGCTCATATTTACAGTTGTGGTTAAAGGTTTAACATAACATAATGTCATGATGGGTCGGGTCGACGTGGCGCAGGGGTAGAGAGGGTGCGCTGGGAACCACAAGGTTGGTGGTTTGAGCCGCGGCTGCTCCGTGTCGAATTGTCCCTGAGCAAGACACCTAACCCCTAATTGCTCCCAAGACAAAAATCTAAAAAGCCATGGGTTAAAAATGCAATGTAAGTCACTTTGGATGAAAGCGTCAGCTAAATGACATGTAATGTAATAGCTCTCTTGAGTTTCCAGTTATTTCTACAACTCTGATAGAGTGATTGGAACAGATATTTCTTTGTCACAAAAAATATTCATGAAATTTGGTTATTTTATGACTTTATTATGGGTTAACAGAAAAAGTGACAATCTACTGGGTCAAAAATATACATACAGAAACATGAATTAGCAATTTTAGTGACTTAGAAAGTTGCATCAATGAAATAAGCTGCATAGCGAGGCCTCTTAACTTCTTGTGAGTGATTATGAGTGACTACAGCTAGTGACTTCTCTGAGGCCATTTGAATAGGGCTCATTGGATACAAACGCCACAAATGTATATTTTTGACCCAGCAGATTTGATCACTTTTTCTGTTAACCCATAATAAAGTCATAAAAGAACCAAACTTCATGAATGTTTTTTGTGACAAAGAGTGAATGGAACAGATACTTCTATCAGAAAAATCTGACATGTAGAAATAATGGGAAACTCAAGAGAGCCATGACATTATGTTCTTTACAAGTGTATGTAAACTTTTGACCACAACTGTGGAATAATATCGCTGGTAAAAACTGGTTCAATGGTATTGAACCTATAATGTATTTTATTCAGGTGCATCCTGTGGATCTCCTCTTTAATGGCACTGGTTTGTGTCCAGGGAACAAAAACGTTTAAAAGACGTTTCAGACGTTTGAGATTGTTAATGGTTATTTTAAATAAATGCCTTTTGTAAAATCCAAAAAATATCCAGAACAATATTGAATTGCTTGCCATATAATTTGGCACTGTAGCCTGCACACATTCATGTGCTCTAGAGTTTGTTTTTTTTTAAAGACAAATTGACCTGGTAAATGTCATATATGTACAACATATACTGTCTGTCCTCATACTTGTCGGGTCTGTCCCTTTTTTTGTCTTTTTGAATGTGTTTCCATTTCCTGAAATTTAATTGTAACGTTTTGGTTGTCCTTATATTTTAAGTGTTCTTATGTCACTTATGTTTGCAGAAAGAAAAAATGGCCAATGACCAAAATAAAAACCATGAGCTGCCTTTCACCTCCACCGAATATATATTTTAGGATTCAGATTAAGAAAAACTCTCAAATAGAATAAACCAAAGTTAAAAGTGTCAGTGTGTATTTAGTACAAATAAAAATATACCAAGCAAATGAGTAAAATAATACACAGCAGCAATGGATAGAATTCAATCCCTGCTATTCATGGTAAATCTACCATAATGTATTTCATAATGATGTATGGCAAATGGATTGTACTTTTTTTTTTCAAGGTCTGCGACCCGTGAAGCACACTACATGTATACCTTGCCTATTTCGCCATAAAAATAGTCGTAATTGTTTTGCTATCCCATGACTTTTCACACAGTACAAGTTGAACAATATACCAATGAAACACACCGTGAAAAAATAGAGAGTATAGAAACCACTGGTAGACAGTACACAGCCCATGATATGGGTAGAGGTGTCCCCCTACTCCCCAACGCACCATTAGTCTGACTAGGCTGGAGGCTCTGTTATCTCTGATTGGCTCTATGTGCTGGGGTGGATCAAAGACTTGAAGGGGGTTGGGATGCTGCTAGTGGGTTTCTCCCCAGGGCGACCAGCCACCATCTGCTGGTAAGGTAACACCATCCAGGAGAAGACTAGAGACCAGTCTAGCATAGAGGACATAGAGCCTAGAGCCATCAATGAAAGCTGGCGTGATTCACAGGATACCAAAAAAATGTATTACTCCAAGGCTTCATTATATTTTCTTTTTTATTTATTGAGATGAGTTTCAGAGGATTCACACAGTTGTCTCTAAAACCACTTTGGAATAATTCTCTCAGACCCAGTCTCTATTTGCTTTGTTGAGTGAGCTTGAGGAAATAGAACTAGCTGCATCTCCCTGGGGAATTCACTGCTGCAGAAGAGCTGCTTTTAAGCCACTATCAAGCATCATTAAGTCAACCAAGTATCTCCATCTGTGATGCCCAGCCCAGTGTTTATTATTTGTATCATTTGTTGTGCATTGACAGATTCCTGTATTTTTTACAGTGTAAATTTGCACAGCATCTTTTGATATTTGCATAAAGACTTCTGTGTATGTTGATCTACTCTGTTGTGACTTTAATTTCCTGTAACACCAAACCAGGGTCCGGTTGTCAGTGATTTGCGGGGTAGAAGGATTACGATGATTTTTTGCTTTATTTTGGGCTCATTTTTAACCACTTGACATCCAGTTTTCCCTTTTTGGAAAAGAAAAGACTTGTTTGACAATCAGGTTTGGGTGGCTAACTTAGTTCTTCTCTACAGGAACCTTCACAATGCAATCCTCCCCAAAATAGAAGCGCTAAAGTCTTTTCTTTTTTTCACTTTGCCAATAAGGCTTGTGGTCCTTGGATGGATTCCAAGTAGGAGTAGTGAAATTCTGTGGAGTCTGGTAAACACCGGGCTAAAATGGAACCCACTTTTACCCACAGCCTTCAAAGATTGTCACAGACAAGTTCTACCTTGTAATCACTTCCCAGAACATTCCTTGAAGGACTGGACATAACCTTCATTCCAATTCTAACCTTCATACGTCAACTAAGGTTCCTAAATTAGTTACTGTATTAAAAGAACAGAATTAAAGTTGTTACCGCAACCGTATACATTTGACCGTATTAGACTTCATTGGAGAATTTAGGAATCTCACTTTGTGAACTTGAGATTGTTAATGGTTATTTTATGAAGACCTTTTTTGGGCTGTTTCTTTAAAGGGTTGAAAGAGAGAGTGAAAAGACACACGATATACGTTTTGTTTTAAGGGCAACTCCACCAATTTACACTACAGTAAATAGTGTGTTGATGTGTCCACGTGATGTCATCAGGAATTACCTTTGATAGGTCTCGGGGACCACAACCTTAACACAGAGCCTTTGTCAAAAACTCAGGTAGGACAGTTTGAGTATTCATTATAAGGTGTGATGAGACATAGAGACGATTCTTTTACAATTATATTTAATTTTTTGTTCATTAACCATCTCTTGTGAACCAAGAAATATTTTTTCTCAATGTACTCGAGTGACGCACAGCATCAAACTTTGTATTGTGCTACAATCATTGCTTTTTTTATATGCGAAATTCTCTCTCGCTCTCGCTCTCTCTCTCTCTCTCTCGCTCTCTCTCTCACCTCCAGTCTTTTCGCTAACTAGGAAGCGCACAGTCGCCGCTTTATGAGCCGGACCCCGAACAGCTCTTTTTCTCCGTGTCGGTGGCTCGGTACTCGGTGCTGTCTTTACGGACTATACGGTGTAGATGTAGTCGGTAGCCGGAGCTCACGGCAGGAGACTCGGTTGTCGCCCTTCGCGGTATGGAGGACTACTGCTGCGCGGAGCCAGAGAAGCTGGAAGCGTGGCTGGACGATCACTTGGAGTTCACCCACTCCTACTTTATCAGGAAGGCTTCAAGGTAAAATGATCACCGAGGAGGGGAACCCGTACGCAGTGTGGACACCGACCTGGTCCACTATTGGGTCTGTGCAGCCTGCTGAATGCGAGTGTATTTTTTAGTGGGAATCTCTGGCAGTAAAGCTCCTTTTGCTTTAGTGTGCATCAGAAAGTACACCTTTTTTCTCACTTAGTTGAACTAGTTAGTAGGGTCTCTTTACTCTCCATTGAGGACCGTGATTATGGGTATTTCAGATCCAGTCTGATCCTGCCCAGGTTGTCTGTGTACTGTCATCTCTCTCCTCTGTGCCTCCTCTCCCAGGTCAGCTCCTTTTTACATCACTATCCACTTCACAATCAGTTAGAGCTCTGAGAGTAACATGAGGCCCTCAAATCATTAACTTTTACTGCTGCCAATCAGTGTCTGTTTAATTCTCAGAGAGCAGTGCCAAATAGGTCAGGTCCAGGTGACAACAAGCCTTTCACATTGCTTGCAGGTGCAAAGTTAGCCATGTCATTTCTTACTGAAACAAAGATTCCAAATCCGTCCTTGGAACTATATAAGGCTCTCTTTTTGCAGGATGCGTATCTTGGCATTTCAAAGTGCTCATCAGGACACACTTAAGTCTGTTTCTATTAGAGACAAACCCCTTCAGACCCATTTAGCCACTTAAAGCACCATGGCAACTTCATCCAGGGACTGAAACCACATTACCACACCTCAATCCTCTCTCCATCTCAATATAGTCTCCACAAAAAGCATTGTTATATCTTGGCCTCTCCTGCTGTTTCTGACCGCAAAAAAGTGTGTCAACACAAGAGGTTTGCACACACCAGCTGCTCTGGTTGAGAGGCATTTGTTAGAGGAGTATTGATTGAGCCACACCTCTCCTGGATACATTAGGGAGAGCTCAACATGACTGGCTCCACCACACTGCAGTCACACAACAGCCTGTGACTCCTGGCTCCAGGGCCCAAGATACCTCGGTTCAGTTTATGGCCACTGCCTGTTGGTGTCCTCTCTTACACTTAACTTAACAGAACCGTGAGTCACATAACTTGCATGACCTGAAAACATATGTGTGTTTGTGTTGTAGAAGTTAATCAGACAATGTTTGCTGATCAGAGAGCTTCTCCCTTACACCACATGTACTGGTCACTCACAATCTTACGCACACCTCAGTCTAAACACAGTTCATAATAGGATATCTACTGTGCCTTCACTATTCACTTTTCTTATCCACACTTATTACCCAAAAAGCGTTCTCATTAGTGCTCATATTCACAGTATTCTTCTTGTCATTGCTTAAAACCGTTGTTATCCGCTGGCCTGTTCAGCCTGGTAATACAGTCAAATGCAGACAATGTGAAAATTTAGAGAATTATAAGTCAAACAGTACGTCGCTTGGTTGTGCTATTTGAATTGACTCACTATAATTGGTGTATATGTAAATATACATTTTATTTGCATTGGAAATGAGACAACCTGTATTGTTCAAGTTGAGGGGCAATATTTTTGAATTGTTGAATAAATCCCAAAACAACCAAAATGTAGCCGTTTCTTTGATTTCTTTTTGTTCACATGGCAGCCGAACAGCTGTGCTGAGCTGTTACGAAGTGGTTTTCGGTACATGAACATATGAGAAATTTAGTTTTTGTTGGTTTTGTGGGTGAGTAAATTAGCGACACAACTTACAGGCTACTTATGTCTGCTCTTGTGTACTTAATCATATGAACAATATTCTTCTGACTGTCAGGAATAACATTTCTGTGTGTGTTGGCCTGAATATGTAAGAAGCTTCTACCGTTAAATAATGTATTTGTCAGGCGATATTTATTTAACTTAGTTATATGTCAGTTTCTCAAACAGCTGTACAGTACTGTACTTTCTCTTACAATATGTGTCAATAATATAAGTATCCTTTTTTTCTGTCTTCCCACAGGGAGATGGTGAATGGCTGGTTTGCTGAGCGCGTCCACTCCATCCAGCCATCTGCCTCTAAAGACAATCCTCTACACCAGCGAGCCCACCAATTTTCCACAGACTCAACATCCCCGTCTGCCTCCAGCATTCTTCCGGCCACCCTCTGCTTCTTGGACAACCGTTGCCCTTCCCTGACCACAGACCCTAGTCTGGCCCCCGTCACACCGACTCGCAAGATCTCGGCATCCGAGTTTGACCGCCCACTCAGACCCATCGTGGTTAAAGACTCGGAGGGCTCTCTGACGTTTCTGAGTGAGGCAGACTACCAAACTGTCCCTGTCCGGGGGGGTGCAGTGATGGGTGAGCGTGGTGTCAGTGGGGGAGGTAGTGGCAGCGGCGTTGACCGCTGCGCAAGGCTGCTGGAGCTGGTGAAGGACGTGTCAAGTCACCTGGATGTGACAGCACTCTGCCATAAGATCTTTCTCCACATCAATGAGCTGATGGCCGCGGACCGCTACTCGTTGTTCCTGGTAGGAAGACCCTTCTAACTGCTTTACCTGGAATGCATATTTTACTCTTTTACCTTGCAGACTCCACTTCATTTATCATTGAATACACATAGAGGTTTTTAGAAAAAGCTATTTGAATAGTTTGCACCTCGATGTGTAAATATTAAAATCACTGGTTATAATTACTGGTATTGTGAAGTAATTTAAAACTATTAGTTTGATTTAATGTTGCCCCTGTAATGTTAACCTCAAATGAAGCTTAAGCCTGGCTGTGGTTGAGGGATTGCCTTCACATGGCTCAGATAACAGCAACGACAGAGGCAACAGTGTCTGAAAATTCTCTATTAAGCAGTGGTTCCCAAACCTTTTTCTGTCAGGGCTGCTTTTGAGGGTACAGGAACATTGGAAGACCCCCCCCAACCCCACCCCAAAAATAGGGTTGGTCTTCCTTTGTTTTTAATTAATTGCATTATAATATATAAACTCTTTTTATTCGTAAAATAAGTACATATAACTTTACTTTTCCACTTAAGTTTTCTTACATTTTGTAAACATATTTTCAAGCAAATTTACTTCAAATATTAAAATTGAAGTTGAACAGTGCAAAAACTTTTATTTATTTTATTTATTTATTCATTTTAATTTTCAAGTTTTTCAAGATGTTTTTTTGTGTCGCACCGTGTCTTTTTTGCTGTCTTTCTGATGCTGCGTGTTTCCCTCTCTGCCTAGTTTGGGAACCACTGCTCTAAAGTGCTCTATTAGTATTGTATATTTTAAGGAATACAAAACCGTTCATGGTTACTGCTGGAAACAACCCCTTTTAACTTGTAATGATTTCATCCTTTGTTAATTTAGTCAGGAGATAATAAGATTAAGTTCGTACATGAGTGTGCGTGCATCTCTGATTCTGTCCACTGGATAATCTTGCACAGTGCTGCACCAAATTTAATTTTGGGGTACATTCATTATTGAAAAGATAGACCACAACCTGGATCTGAGCTGAGACACGAGCCGTTACTGAGGTAGTGCAGACAGCGGCGTGAATAAAAATGAGACCGTATATGCTGCGTGGGACATGCGGGTGAAAAACACATCTGATACAGGTGTGATCTAGATGGGGGCTTTGAGATTTGTGGTTTATATTCATTCAATTAAACATGACAGAAGTGGTTGTTGCAGACATACCTGTCAGAGATTTCATTACATTTTACTATTCTGTTTTTTCAATTTGTAATTTCTTTTCTTGAGGAGATTTTATGCTTTCTTGTTTTTATTCCAAGCCAACAGTTGTATGACCACATTCTGCTTTGTGTGTGTGAATCAGGTAGGAGAGGACAGCTCCAATAGGAAGTTTTTGGTCAGCCGCCTGTTTGACGTAGCTGAGGGATCTACACTGGAGGAGTCTTCCAGTAGCTGCATCCGCCTTGAGTGGAACAAGGGCATTGTGGGACATGTTGCCACAACAGGGCAGTTGCTCAATATCAAGAACGCTTACAAGGTGAGGATCCCCTGCGGTTTTGTCAATTTGGATGCTGAGGAGCCTGCAAAGGGGCGGCACGGTGGTGTGGTGGTTAGCACTGTTGTCTCACAGCAAGAAGGTCCTCGGTTCGACTCCCAGTGGCCTTTCTGTGTGGAGTCTGCATGTTGTCTGCGTGGGTTCTCTCCGGGTACTCCGGAGATTAGGTTGACTCCAAATTGCCCATAGGTGTGTGAATGGTTATATGTCTCTGTGTAGCCCTGCGATTGGCTGGCGACCAATCCAGGGTGTACCGCGTCTATTGGCCCGAAGTTGGCTGGGATAGACTCCAGCCCCCCTGTGTGCAGGATAAGCGGTTTGCATGGACCCTGCAATGAAGTGCTTGGCTTTCTATGCTTGTTGTATTTGCGTTCTCTTTGGTGCATCTGATGGTTTGTGCTGACAGCACAGACTTGATGAGGGAGGAGGCACGCATGCACATTTACCCCTGACAGTTTCAGTTTCAAGCCAACCTCACCTCAAGATACACCACAATCGGAATTATTGGGATTCCTCTTTAATGGGACCAAAAAGTTGTTTTCTTCCCAGGTTGAAAACGTAGTATTGATGAATTAGTTTCTTCTTAAGTGAAGTCAAATAACAAAACCTTACAGGAAAATGCATCGAAAAGATTATCATTCTATTAATGTTGTATTTATACACTAATTGCTATTTCTTATTATTATGTATTAAAGATGAATGTTTATTAACAAAAGACCAAATTGCTCATGATGGTAAGCCCAGTTTCTTGGTTGATAACTGGTCATTAGTGTGTGTGTGTGTGTGTGTGTGTGTGACTAAGAGGCAAATCAATAAAAGTAGCATATCAATGCAGTCAATACAATTTAAAAAATTTTGATAGACGAAGTCTTCCTTCCTCCAATTCTAGATTGGGTTTCAGCCCTGTGACCTTTGTAGATTAAGCCACTGACCTTTTAACCCATTCAGCTCCTCTCAACTTTTATTTCTTTGAATGATGCAATTATTGTTCAGGAAATTTGATGGTGGAATTATTATAAATCGAGGAAATAGCCTTACAGATTCATTGGGGAAAAATCTTAGGCCCTTCAGTATTTCAAACTAATATCTTAATGGAGTCTGGGTACAATTCGGAGGCCAACATGAGAAACCTGGTTATACATAATTTTATAATCATAGCAGTATTTACATTCTAAACCACCAACCATGCTTCTTTGTACCACAAATCACAAAACCTGGACCCTTCAGTTCAACCAAAACTCATCACAAACTTTACTCGCATGAATATCATTATCTACATAAGGTTATTAAGAATATTCAGTCTTTATACTGTGTGTGTGTGTGAGAGAGAGAGAGCGAGAGAGGCCGAGGGAGCAGGATTTCCCACCCTGTACCTTCTTACTCTGAATGCACTGTCACCTAGTTGCCAGCCAACCACACCGATGATGATGATGATGGTGGCGCTGATGTGAGTTACGACTTACAGAGAGGTGCGTAAAAAGAGAGATGAGATAGAAAGGACAAATAAAGAACGATAGTGGACTGTTCATCTGTTTGTATTAGCTTGCTAGTGTGTGTGCAATGAATACCTGCAAGCACATATAAATATATTACATTACAGGTCATTTAGCAGACGCTTTTATCCAAAGCGACTTACATTACACTTTTTGCCCCGGGAGCAATTAGGGGTTAGGTGTCTTGCTCAGGGACTCGAACCATCTGGACTCGAACCATCAATCTTGTGCTTCCCAGCACACCTTCTCTAACCCCTGCGCCACGACGACCCTGTATATGTAATGAAAGTAAAACTTGTGTGCATGTGTCTGCTTCCATATGAGTGCAGATTTGTGTGTGGTTATTGGTGTTTGTGTATCATGCTATACACCGAACTTAAAGTAGATTAGTGTGTGTTTGTGGAGGAGGTGGGGGGAGGGGGTGTGTCGGGGGAGAGGTTAATGTGCCAGAGTATACAGTAACTAGATAGTGCCTTGAAGTATTCTTTGAGGAATATCTTTGTCAGCTGAGGGACTCCCCGGCTATCTGATCTATAACTTTAAATTACTTTGATTCCAGCAACGCAATGAGGAAAAACTCTAGGGCCTCATGAACTGCGCTTTATAGAAATCTAATCTTGGGGGGCGGGAGGCAACCTTTGCTTAGATTTCGTCTGTATTTCGCTGTAAGCTACAAGCAGTTAGGTTTTCTCTAGTGACGGATGAGTCATGTTGATAGTTTTGATGGGGCATTTTGAAAACTACACATGATCAGACCAATTAAAAAATACTTTTCATACTGGAATTGGTCAATAAAAATAGAATTTGGAATAATAATACAATTTTAAATAAAATGTTTTTGACTGTCAATAAACCCTTTCCTGCAGAGGACATTACAAGCCTACCAGGAAGTAATGCCCTTCAAGCCACTTGAAGTTTTCAATTTGGAACATCTACGAAGTTAGTGATGTTTTTCATTCAAAGTCAAGAGTTTGGATTACTGTTTTTGAATTTGTAACATTTGTAATTAATAGGAGAATATTGTGGACATTGTATTTGTATAAAATGATCTCTCTGCACCTAGTGTTGTGCATGAAGCTGCAGGAAGGTGACAGTTGTCATTTCAGCCAACCAAATGGAATGGAACGATTGACAGGCATATCAAGTGCAGGCGTCTGGGCTTAGAGCCAAGTTAATCTTTTGTCACATATGTAATCATTTTATACAGAGAAGCGTTTGGTGTAGTTAAAGAGCAAATATCATTCACAGTGAAATCAGATTGGAATACAGGTTTCTTCCTGAAATATACTTATAAAGAGAAGTTTGTCTCTATTTTGATTCTCTCTGTCAGCAATTGAGCTAATTAAAAGATCACTGCATCACACTGCATAGTGCTACCAAGAGAAGACTTACTTTTTAAAATATGTGATGATCCTCTATGCATGGTTACAAAGCCACACATACCGTTCCTTTTGAGTTGTGAGGGTAATGGTTTGTGTTTAAAGGTCGGCCGGTGGGGGGGAGGGTGGCCAAAAGGAGCATAGTCCTCTGTACAAACATCTCTCCATCCTCTGGTCCTTAACATGCCTTCTGAAATAACTTCTCACTCTTCAAATCCATATTTACATTCAAAAGAATCTTTTGCCTCCTTGTGATTGATACCAAGCACTAACAAAACTATGCATGTGATACTTTTGTTTTGGAGAGGAATGGATATTTGTGTGTGTGTGAATCAGTTTTTAATGCATGTTTTCAATTGAATGTTAGGATAGATGAGGATTTGAATACTGAATACATCAGGTCTGTATTGAAGCCGCTGATGGCCGATGCTCTTTTTAAACTACAAAATGCATTTCCTGCTGAAAATGCGTTGGAATGCAAAAAGCTGAAATGAATTTTTAAAAATAGCTGAAATTACAGAAAGTTGAAGGGAATTTGGATACATTTGCTGAAATTACAGATATTAGAAAAGCTGAAATTAATTTTAAATTGCTGAAAATACAGAAATGGGAGAAGCTGAAAGGAATTTCAATAGATTAGCTGAAAAAGCAGAAAAGAAAACAGCTGAAATAAATGTGAAATATTGCAAAACAAAACAGAAGTTGCAGGAGCTTAAATTAATTTTAAAAAGTACAGAAATAAATAAGAATAAAAAAAGCTGAGATGAATAAAAAGGTTTAAAATTGTTTGTAGTAATATTAGTAGTAGTATTAGTTATAGTTGTAATTGTGGTATTAGTAGTACTAGCAGTAGAAGTCGGTTTAGTATCAATAGCAGTAGAAACAGCTGGAATACTGATACTATTAGCCATAGTAGTATTTGTAATAACATTAGTATTAGTTGTAGTATTAATAGCAGTAGAAATACTAGTAGTATGGTATTAGAAGTATCAGTTGTAGTACTAGTAATATTCCTAGTGGTTGTAGTAGTATTTGAAAGAGCAATACGTATTTCAACGAAACCGCTTCATGGTTAAGGTACAGATAATCATTGAGGCTTTTATTTTGTAATGATGGAATTGGGTGAGGGGGGGTTGGGAGACAGAATGTTGTCAAACTAAGAATTTTTTAATTAATAGGCCTCATCACAAACATTACAGTAAAAATTCCCTCCATGGGGCTTTTATTTTGTAATTATTGGACTGGGTGGTGTGGGGGGGTGTAGATAGAGGGAGGGAGGGAGGGTGAGGAAGGGAGGGGTGGTGAGGAAGAGATAGAGGGAGAGAGAGAGGAGGAGAAATAGACAGACTGACTGACTGATTAACAGTGAGGAGGGGGGAGGGGGGGGGGAGTGTCTTTATCATATTGGTCTGTTGACAGAAAGCATAGCTGCGTCATGTGACTCCACTAATCAGGTCATAGGAGCAGCTGTGAGTCACAGACAGAGATACTGCAGCATGTGTGTGCGAGTAACCACGGCAACGGCGCACCTGGGCTCATTAACGAGCTACTGCAAAGGGCAGACACAGGACAGTTACACAGAATCCACACCTCAAACAAATGACCACCAGCGCAAAACTATAACAGCTATCTAAAAATTAAAGACACTTGTGCGAGACCCAAGACTCTACCGAACGCATGGATGTGTTTTTATGTCTGTCTGGTAATAAATATGGCTCCTATCGCAGTTGACAAAACGTGTACCTTCTGGATTTTTGTGAGAAATATGTATATGTCTCTAACACTCCTTAAGCCAAAACTAAAGAACTCTGGATTAATGTGTTCATGGAATCCCAATCAGCACAACCATGCCCTCGTTAATCTGAAGAAATGAAGCCTCTAGAGGGTATACTTTGGCTGCAAGGACAGAAGTTCCATATTTTTTTAACCAGATTCTGACGCTGTCCGACACTATTAAGATCTCCGGGTCTCACCCTAGCAGACGTAATACACACTCATGTAAAACTCAGAAACGGAGCGAAGAACTAGTGAAACATAATCAGTGATTATGAAAAACTAGAATAGATATCAACAAGCAGTTTTTTTCATAACATAGTTGAGACTTATGTCAACATTTGAAGTTTAAATGGTGTCTGTAGCTGAAAGATCTGAAAGTTGAAGAAGTTTAAGAGGATTTGAACACGATCTCCATAGGAAAACCATTAGAAGAAATATTCATGATTACTGATTTATATAAATTCAAGCTTAAGAGGTAGAAAGCTGAAAAGCCATAAAGGAGCCAGAAAGGAGCTGAATATTTTAATATTTGAACAGTTTAAATAGCTGAAAATGTGCAGGAGTTGAAAGGGGGCGCGGAAGAAATAGAATAATAATAAGTTGAAATAAAGAATAGAAGAACAATACTTGGAATGCTTAATGCATTAGAACAATACTTGGAATGCTTAATGCATTAGAACAATACTTGGAATGCTTAATGCATTAGAACAATACTTGGAATGCTTAATGCATTCCAACAATAAAGATTCGAAGAACAATATTTGGAATGCTTAATGCATTCCAACAATGATTAGTCTCTCTTAATGCAAGGTTTGTTTTAACTGTGCCCGCTGCTTTGATGTTTATACTGCTGACCATAGTGGCAGATTCAAAATAATTTCAATTTTTGATTTTTTTCCCAAATAACGCTTTTTGGCTTCTTAGTTTCTGTAGGCGACTTGTTTATATTTGAAACTGGTGTTTTTCTTATTAGTAAATATGCAAACCTTGGTCATCTGAAGTAACGTTGCTTTACTTGTACAGGTCGTGAGCTAGTTATTGGGTAATGCTAACGTTTAAAGCTTACATTTTAGCTGATCAAAACACTGTTTAATTTGTTTGTGGCACTTTCGTGTTTTTGTTCTTGGAAATGCTCAATAAAGACATCACCCAGATGACAATCAGACTTACTGCACATTGTTTAAGTTTAACAATTCAATGTGCAGCAGGTGCAATCATTTTTATTCAGCATTTCCGTAGGTATGCATCAACAATATCACTAGCGAAATGCATAGACCAGACCATATATGATACCAGATATCAGACCCAAAGCTTAGGTCCCACCCTCTGTTAACTGTTTTTAATGTTTTAAAGATGAGATGGAATTCTGTATGCTTTGCCTCTTCAGGACCCAAGGTTCAATGCTGAGGTGGACCTGATCACAGGTTACAAAACTCAAAGTATCCTTTGCCTTCCTATCAAGAATCACAGAGCCGAGGTAAGTGAAAGCACACAAGCTATCAAGCTTTACCAACTTCTGGAAGGGTCTGATCTTCTAGTAAACCACTAGGATACCGGTTTATCTAAAGCGGTACATGGGCTTTGTCTGTCAATCCCAATGTGATATAAACAGGGAAAGAAGTATGATGTGTACAAAGCCATCTTAAGAGAATTAATTGGAATCTGAATGAAAATGTCCACTTACTAACCTCTTTCAGACCGTTCAGCCTCATGTCATGGCAGTCTTCAGCAGATGGAGTTTACTTGGTTGTGGCAAAGATTGCTCAATTTAGATAAGGCATGTAGAGCATGTAAGTTTACCCATGACAACTGAAAAACCCCATCCACTGGAAGACCATAGGGCGGAGCTGAAAGAAAAAAAAAGGTAGTTTCTGATTTTCTGTGTGTGTTTACTCTGTTCAGGTAGTTGGAGTGGCTCAGGCTATCAATAAAAAAGGTGGGGAGGATAGTGCCTTCAGTGAACAGGATGAAAAGGTCAGTAAAATCTCAAGGTTCACCTACATTAACCCCTTCCCATTAATGTGTAAATTCAGATGTTGGAAAAATATTTTGCTATGACTTGACAGCATGGACAGACCGATGACAGAAGCATAACCATACAATGAACTGTGTCAAAATATTCGCCTCCTAGGTACAGTGAATATCAAACTGACCTTGACCTCAGTCTGTCTGTCCCCACCTGTGTGCGTCCTTCCTCGTGTCATCTGGCATTTCCTTTCCCCTCAGGACTTCTCAGCCTATTTAGCCTTCTCGGGCATCGTCTTGCACAACGCTCAGCTCTACGAGACATCGCAACTCGAAAACAGACGCAATCAGGTAGGTCAGTGTGAATGTGTCACTGTTATGATCCGGCTCCAAGGCCACAACAAATACAAGAAACCACGCTACAGGGATTATCAGCCAACAATTTGTATTCTCCAAATTAACCGATTAGACAACCGAAACCGCCATTGCGCTGGGGAACAGGAGAAAGCCACAAGTCGTGCCCCAACACTCAGAAAGGGGCAGGTTGGCACTGGCCAGCTGTGTCTGATCTGCCTGATGGCCTCAGCTCCACTCCACCAGGAAGTTCACCCTGTAACACACACAGACAGAGACACACCCACAAATACCCTGGCAGTGGCCCTGGGGCCGTCACAGTCACTTAATGTGTGTATATGTTGCTGGGACAAAACTCTCAACACGATGCATTCTTTTGTGTGTGGGTGTGTAGGTGCTGTTGGACCTGGCCAGTCTGATCTTTGAGGAACAGCAGTGTCTGGAGGTTTTGCTGAGGAAGATTGCAGGAACCATCCTGTCCTTCATGCAGGCCCAGGCTTGTACCATCTTCATTGCTGATGATGACTCCATGGTCAGCACACACACACACACGCACGTTACTTATTTTTCAAAGACCTCATCCGAAATTATTACATAAGCTTTCAGAAAGAACGATTTGAAGTCTTCCACAAGATTGATGTGAAATTACTTTCACAAAATATGATCATCAAAAAAATGCTTTGTAGAGGAGCTAAATATACACAAACAATGTGTTGATATGTTAAGGTTTAAATTGTCACGGTCCACTTGCGTCATCACAAAAATTGTGCTGTTTCATGAAAAATTGACTGTAAAACTGTAAAAGTGGTGGTTTGGCCATGACACGCTAGAAAAGCGGCTCGCCTTGTATTTATTGGTCCATTTTATGTCCTGAGTCATTCCTGGACGGGTCTCTTGAGGTGCCCTAATCGCTACGGAGGGAGAAGTGCATTCGGGAGAGGCACATATCCCTGGACGGGCCATCAGTTTGGTTTGGATTTTCCCCCGCCTCACCTGCTGCCTCTTGTCTGACAGGAAGAGATATAGTAGATATAGAAGAGATATAGTAGAGAATAGACTTTAAGCACCTTGATAATTTGCAGACTGCTGTCTAAATGAGGTTAGTTTACCTGCTACACCAGGGAGACAAACAAATTGGTTGACATCCATGGCAACAGTTCCAGCAGGGGACTACCAGTTCTGACTGTGGGATCCCAAGGTGTTCCCAGGCCAGTCTAAAGATATAATCTCTCCACCTAGTCCTGGGCCTCCACGAATCGCTGAGCTTATCACCCTATCTTTAAGGGACACGCTCTTAAGGAAACCCATTTCGGCCGCTTGTTCCCGTGACCTAGTTCTTTCGGTCATGACCTATCCTTCCCACAGCACCTCCCAAATTATCTCTCGGGGGACCCGATCATATGTCTTTTCCAGGTCAACAAAACACATGTAGACTGGATGAGCATACTCCCAGGCCCCCTCCATAATCCTGTAAAGATCAGTCGTTCCACGACCAGGAAGAAAACTGCATTGTTCCTCTTCAATCCTTGGTTCAACAAACCCTCCTTTCCAGCACCTTGGAGTAGACTTTACCGGGGAGGATGAGTAGTGTGACACCCCTGTAATCAGCACACACTCTCTGGTACCACCACCCCGGTCTGCCACGCTATAGGCACTATCGCAGACTTCCACGCAAAGAGGCGTGTCATCCAAGACAGCCCCATTTCTTTCAGCATCTCTGGATGGATCTCATCAGGGCTTTGCCACTGCAGAGTTGTTTAACTACTTAAGTGACTTCCACAAGGCAAATTGACGATGATCCCTGCTCTGCCTCCACCAAAGAGGGCGGAGTAGTTGGATTCAGGAGTCCCTTAAAGTGCTCCTTCCACCGTCCGATAACCTCCTCAGTTGCGTTCAACAAGGTCCCATCCTCCTTCTGACGTGCCGGATGGTTTTCCAGAAGCACTTTGGTGTCGACCAAAAAGTCCTTCTCCATACCTACCCCTTACTCCTCCCACACTCGCTGCTTTGCCTCCTCCACAGCAGAGGCTGCTGCCCTTCAAGCCCATTGGTACACTGCAACTGCCTCAGGGGTCCAAACAGATATCATAACCCGGAAGGCCTCTTTCAGTCGTACGGCTTCCCTGACCACTGGTGTCCACCACAGGGTTCAAGGGTTACCGCCCCTTGATGCACCTAAGACCTTGAGGCCACAACTCACTCCTGCAGCTTCAGCAATGGTTTTGAATACTACTCTGGTTCAACCTCCCCTACCTCCACAGGAATGCAAGAGCAACCCCGCCAGAGGTGTGAGTTAAAAATCTTTTGGACCTCCAGATCTTCCTCTCACCAGTAGTGCCCCTACTGCGAAGGCAATACCAGTCGATAAAAAAAAATGCCGTCACGTCACGCATGCGCGGTCTACCACGGGAGACGACCGAAACAAATGCTAATTAGCGATCCTTGCTTACTAACGGACGCATTTAATTTCATTCCAACCCAGGCTGACTCCAATAAGGTAATGACCAAGAATTTGCGGGATGCTTGTGATTGTTTCCTCCTTCTGACAGATGAGAGGCTCATTGTTTTCTTCAAATCGACTCGTGGGCCGGGAACAACTTTTTAAGCCACTTTAAAGCCCTGCCACATACAAGTACATAAGGATCCCTTTTCTTTTTTTTGATAGCCAAGGTTCAAGATCAATTGTTTTATTGAAATGCTGAATCTAAAAACAACATCACGAATCTCAAAAAGATCAAAATAATCTGCAAGTTAAAGTTTTTTTATATCTATGTATATGTCCTTCACTTGCAAATGATGAACTGATCTATTACTAAATTGGTTTTGCATGGTTCCGTTTAGATTCCTGGGTGATTTCGTCTGTTGCTTTTAGTTTTTTACTTTACTTTTTGAACATGTACCATTTAGCTCTAGTTCTAATAACTGCTCATCATTCAAATTCAATTTGCTTATGAGGTTATTTTGTCAGTCATTTGGGAGGGATTTCCTATTCCTGAAACAATGTGGTCTGTTTAAATAATTAAAAAGTTTGTTTAACTGTTATTGTCACCGAACCACCAGTCCCAAAAGAAGATATCAGTTCTATAATTTTCCACTGGGATGATGGCTAACTGTACTAAAGGTCAAGTTATTGTAAATGTTGGTTTTACTGAGTATCAACTACATTGCCAATTCACCATTCAATATTTGTGTTGAGGACTGGGTGAACTGAATGGGAATGCAATACTGTTGAAATGGTTTGTATTAGGTCACAAAACATTGGTGTTTAACTTTCTCAGGGTATTATTGTAACCATGTAGTGTGACAAATGCTTTTTTTAAAACATAACAAACACAGCAATAAAAACCACAACAGCATTCTGTATGGCACATCTAGTACTAAATTAACTAGACAGAATACATCCAGAACTTTGCTTGTCTGCTCACCCTTTCCAAATCCCATGGTCACATCAACTCTGTCCTCCAGAACCTCAATTGGTTCCTTGTCCCACAACAGATCCAATTCAAAGCCAGGTCTCACTCAAAAAAAACAAGCCTTCGATCAATTAATGCATTATCATTTATTTCTATAAAATGGTTTGGGTCTAAGTGTAAATATTGTACGGGGCTCATTGAGGACCAACATCTCTTTTTAACTCTAGGGCTCCCCAGCTGGTTAATCTGGTCCGACTGTGTGGAGGATCCTAGAAACAAGGGTGTTTCTAAAGATTTTTTTCATTTCCCTACTGTGAGAACAACCAAAAATGATGTTGACTTACATTGAGTTAATTTAGGCAGAAGATAGAAACTTTAAAACCTGGACAAATACAACAAAGTTATCTGCAATGGCTAAAACATCAGAGGGAATTTACTTCACTATGCTCCACAGAATCTGTTACATCTCACTTTATTATAAAGTGTTTATCTTTGTGTGTGCACGTGTCCTCTCTCTCTCACACACACACACGAACACACACACACACTGTATAATAAAATGTGTGTGTGTGTGTGTGTGTGTCCTTCTCATGACCTCAAGAGTTGCCAGACCAGCTGTCTGCTTTTCTTTTATATCCCTCCTCGCTTCTCCTCTTGTCTTTTTCCTTACTAAACATTTACTCTGAGATTAAGGACTTTTACTGGCCTTATCCAGACGGCCCTCTGTATACAGGTGTCAGTGTTGCAAGTCTGCAGTGTGTCAAACAGGACCCACAAGTCCTTGGATTTTGACATAACCTTTACCCTCCGGGAAAGAAGCTTTCCCAGAGGAAGTCTAATATATTACAGTGCTGGTCTTTAACACTTAAATGTACCAACACAGATACACAGCATTGTTCAGAATAGTGGGGTGCGCAGGCGAACTTTGTTACCGCAGTGTGTGGCATCAGTTTAGAAACCGTGATGTGCTCTGTGTTTTGTTAGTATGTGTGTGCTAAAATGTGTATGGTGTGCGAGCAAGAACGTGTGTGTTTTGGGTGTGGATGGCGCATGATTGGGTTTGACACCTGGCTCTCCACTGGGATCATTTTGTTCTCCCAAGTTGTCTAGCCCTCCTCAGTAGAAACTGTGTGTGACTACAGGTGTGAAGGTATAAGGCTGTGACAATAATAATAATAATAATACAGTGTATTTGGTGTCACGGTGGTTAGGTGGTTAGCACTGCCGCCTCAAGAAGGTCCTGGGTTCGACTCCATCCAGCGGCGTGTGAAGGTTCTCACCATGTTTGCATGGGTTCTCTCCGGTCCCTCCACGGTCCAAAGACATTCTCTGGGAAATTTCCCATATGTGTGTGGGTGTGAGTGTGAATGGTTGTATGTCTCTGTGTCAGCCCTGCAATTGTCTATATAATCCAGGGTGTACCCCGTCTCTCCACCAATGTTAGCTGGGATTGACCCCGGCCCCTACCCTGTATGAAGGATAAGCGGCTTTGAAGATGGATAGATAAATTGTATTTGTATTGCACTTTTCATTCAGAGGAATGTCAGAGCCAGAGAGCCATTATATTGCAATAAAAACATAGTAAACAAATGCCTCCTGAAATAAAAGTTATTTAGGTCAGTCTTAAGAGTCCAGTGTATGAGCTGACCGTATGTAGTTGGGGAGACTTTCTGTGCTGTGCTGCCGAACAAAAGGACCGGTCCCCCATGGTGCAGAGCTTGATGATGGAGACCTGGAGGAGCGAGGTGCTTGTGGATCTGAGGGTGCAAGGTTGAAGGAGGTTTAAGGAGTAATTAGTTCTTGTAGGTAGGAAGGTGCATGTCCATCTATGCCTCTATGGTTGAGTAGTAGGACTTTGCATCAGGAATGAGACAGGGAGCGAGTGTAACATGGGAGTTATGTGCTCATATTTCTCTCTCTGACTCTCATCAGAATCCTGGCATCTCTGTTTTGAATGTATTGCAGTTTGTTGCATGTTCTAGACCGTAATCCCAGTAAAAAGGGAATTACAGTACTCCAGTCTTGAGGAGATACAGGTGTGGGCGAGCTTCTCTGCATTTGAGCGGGTCAAAGTGGAGTGGAGTTTGGAGATTGTTGAGGGGATAAAAGGAGGTTTTGCACAGGTGTGGCGTGCCAACAAGGAGGGCTTTGGTTTTGCTTCTGCTTAACTGGAGAAAATCGTTGCTCAGCCGTGCTTTTATCTTCTATCTAAAACGGGCAGTGAGACATGACACGGATTATATTACAGGTCATTTAGCTGACGCTTTTATCCAAAGCGACTTACATTTTAACCCATGGCTTTTTACATTTTTGCCCGGGGAGCAATTGGGGGTTAGGTGTCTTATCTAGGGACAAACCAGCTTCAGGGTAAGGGGCCCGCGGCCTACCTAGGTTTCGCTGAAGAGGATTTACATTTTTTCCGCCCCCTCCGTTTATAACAAATAAACTCCTCTGTTATGTCTGATTAATTATTCATTCAACAGACTGCTTGAGGGAAGAAGTTGTTCCTGTGTCTGTTGGTTTTGGTGTAGAGTGCTATATAGTACCTACCAGAGGGGAGGAGTCTCAACAGGTTATGTCCAGGTGTAGAATAGGACCAGCAGCTCCTGGAGAAGGTGGAACTTCCTGAGCTGGAGCAGGAAGTACAACCTCTGCTGGGTCTTCTACCTGATGGTGTCGATGTTGGAGGTCCACTGCAGGTGCCTCCTAAAGTCCACCATCATCTCCACAGTGTTGTTCAACTCCATGTAGTTCTAACCACACCAGAGGACCAGCTGTTCAATATATAGATATAGATTTTTCACAATGTCACCTGCAGTGGTGTGTCTGTCAGAAAGTTAGTAATCCAGTGACCCATCTAGGCCTTGTGCCTTCCTGGTCTTCAGTCTTGGAAAGAACCAACTCTCCTCCGTACCAGTGGGTAATTTGTTGGGAGAGGTGAGAAGAAGGCATGGGGTCTGGGTGGTTGTTTGATAATGACGGAATGTTTCAGATTTCTTGTGTGTTTGGATCCACAATTAAGTTCATATATAACTTTTTTGTTGTTATGGATTGAGAAAAAGGCTCGAGATCCATGATCTAATGCAAGCAGACTGTTTGAGATTAATGTGTCTGCCACAGAAATTAATAACTGAATGTGAAAATCCCAACGTACATGATTAAGAAACCAATTATTTAAATTGATGTAAAAACCTTGACTGATGCTTCCAATCAAAATGAGAAGGTCAGTGTGATTTCTTTAAATATTCCCACATTCCAAAGAAAATCCCATTATCCTGTGTTTTCCTTTTATAATCTTTCCCGCTTGACAGAGAGGAAGATTTTTATACCCCAAATGAATGCTGTAACAAAGCCAGGTCCCTTTTTTTGTTTAAAACAGCTTTATTACCCTGATGCCATAAAGTGAAGCTGTGTGTATGTGCATGCAAGGGGAGAGGGGAGATTTTTCCAAAACCAAGAAGCCTTTAACATCCTGTCCCCACCTCTTAAAAATGGAAAAAGGATCTATTGGTTCTGAGTGGGAGTGCAGGTTGAGAGAAAACAAGACCCTATACGGTAGGGAAAGGCGAAACAAGCACTGCCATGTCAAAATAAACTCCCTCTTGCTAGGCTTCATGGGTAATAGATCAATGTTCCCATTTTAATGTAATTAAGGCAGTGTGCATGATATGGCTGCTTAACCTACAGTATTTGGAATTTGGTAAAAGCAGCAATGGCTTAATTGGAGGCAATGAGAAAGGACCCACTAAGAAAGAAAACAAGCAGGGTGGACCTGCAGCAAAGCATGTTGGACCTTTTTTCAGGTCACAATCAAGACCAATTAAGACCCTGTCTTTATTCATCTGGTGTGACCTGATTCTAATGGCTTCATGTTGAGTACATTTAGCCTCCAAGCAAGTCCTAGCCATATTACTTAAGCTGTAAAACATCAGTCACCAACTTTTATTCTTTTTGCAGAACTCCTTCTCCAGTGTCTTTTATATGGAATACGAGGAGCTACGTGAAAGCCTTGATGCCCCCAAAAGGTAGGGTGACTGTCTTCAACCAAAACTTATTTAATTAAAAGCCCTGCACATTGACCCTAATACTTACACCATCTGTTTCCAGCAGGTCTTAGCGCTAATATTTCCTACCCTTTTCCCTCACCCAGAGAGACCATTAGATGAGGTTTGATAGCAGGCACTTTTCAGAAGGAGTCATTGTCATCCTACAGCGCATACACTGTAGAGGACAAGAGGAAGAAGCAGAGAAAAGAGATGTTGGCATCGTAAAAGTGTTGCCCAATGATTTCTGGTTTCATTACAAGACAAGATAAGACAAAGCTGCTCAGTCCAATTCTAATAAATTTGCAGTGCAGATCTGCATTCCCATTGGATCTTTGTCAGATAATCTGCTTTCTTCACCTGCCGAAAAAAATACATTTGTACGTGTATATATATATATATATATATATATATATATATATAAACATATATATATATACGTATGTGTGTGTATACAGTGCTGTAGTGGTAAAATTAGAGGTGGGTAAACTCTGAATTTTGTGATCATACAGACCTCGACGCGATGCGAAGCAACGCAACACAAAGCGTTGCGACTCTGTAAGGCTGTCCTGGCTATATTGCATTATGTTATCAGTAAAAGTCATATACAATCAATGACAATGAATACATGTGTTAGTAGTTTATTAAATTTAAGAAAACAGTAAAGAAAAGTATGTCAACACAACCCAACAAGACAATTGCAGATTAAGAACTATCTACATACGGAGTCTCCTTTTTACAGTAGTGCCCAGAGGGCTTCCTTGTCCTCCACGTCACGTCACCTCTGCTAGACGGACCCTAGCCCTACCCTTTCCATAAGGAGTTCATTTTGTTGTGCTTTCCTATTTGCCGTTGTGCGTTCCTATTTGCCGTTGTGTTTTGCACTTCAGGGCCACCGTAGACATTACCTCCGGGCCACAACAATTTACAATGATACGCCGTCTCTTTTGTAGAAGCAGGAAGTTCAGTCGAGCTGAACCAATGTCTTTCGGGTCTCTTCTCTCCCGTACCTTTCTCTGGATCTAGATTTTGATTGTGACATTGAATTGAGAGCCAACATGGCACTGTCATGGTTTTAGTGATGCTGGTGGCTATTCTGCAGCCTTACTCAAGTCACTCACAGAGAAACAGAAAGGAAATGCAGATTTTAGTCTGCTTGGGCAATTCAACTCAAGAACACATGCATGTACTGTGCTGCATGTCTGCCTGGAGTGAGTGAGTGAGTGAGAGAGAGCGAGAGAGAGTTGAGGCCAACCTGGACAGAGCACATTGTTATTATAGACCCAAGCCTTTTGGTCATTCAAAATAAAAGTGGATAGGATGTTAAAAAATAAGCAACACACACACACATCAGTGATGGAATGGATGGAAGAATTTTTTTACGTAAGTAAAAGTGGAAATACCAAAGCAAATTATTATCTAAAACTCCCCTCTGAGATATAGTGAAGCAGAAGTGTATAATACAATTAAAATATTAAAATCCAAATTGTACTAAAAGTACGGTTCTTTACATTCCACCACTGATTATTTCTGTACTAACACACACACTTTCTGTATTTGTCCTTCTTTCTGTCAGCCACAAACACAGCCTCATGTTCCCAAACACACACATACCGTCTGGCCACACCACCAACCTAAATCCGCTGGCTTTTGCTCAAACCTCATGTTATGTTTATATATTAATTTTCCATAATTTATTATGCAGTAGTATAGTTGACTGTGGTTAAACTTTTGAAAAAGTAAAGTAAACAAACACCGATGGCTGTCAAACAAGGGGTGGGGGATGTCGAGGGCCCCCAGGTGAGGCCTACCAGCTGTAGTTCTCTCATTTGAATGAATCCGAGGCAGGTTTCCAAAAATGTCTTCTTTTTTTTTTAAAGACAGACACAGTTAGAGACAAGGTGATGATCACTAAGGGTTTTTCATTTTTAGGGAAGTTACAAGGTTGTGTGGTTTTGTGTCTCCTCAGGGACTGTGAAGTCAAGCAGATTAACTACATGTATGCCCAGTATGTCAAAAACACCATGCAGCCTCTCAACATTTCCGACGTCACCAAGGACCAACGTTTCCCTTGGACAGTCAGTATGTCTTTTCTTTGTCTTATTTTTTCCTTTTCCCAAAGTGACAAATTATCCTACCTGTGTTCTGACAGCGGGATAACCCAGATCACACCAGCAACCAGATAAAGAGCTTGCTCTGCACTCCAATCAGGAATGGCAAAAAGGACAAAGTCATAGGTGGGATCTCTTTCTCTCTCTTTTTCTAGTGCTTTAAAGTACTTAACCTTTTTCACCTGTTTATGACAATAGCTTAGCTGCAGTAAGATCTGTTGATAGAAACTAGCATGGACTATCTGTTTCCATTTAAAATATAAGATGCTGTCCTTTTATACACATATATATGTGTGTGTATATATACGTGTATGTATGTATATATGTGTGTGTATATATGTGTGTATATATGTGTGTGCGTATGTATGTATATGTGTATATATATGTGTGTGCGTATATATGTATATGTGTATATATATGTGTGTGTATGTGTATATATATGTGTGTGTATGTGTATATATATATGTGTGTGTATGTGTATATATATATGTGTGTGTATGTATATGTATATATATATGTGTGTGTATGTATATGTATATATATATATGTGTGTATGTATATGTATATATATATGTGTGTGTATGTATATATATATATGTGTGTGTATGTATATATATATATGTGTGTGTATGTATATATATATATGTGTGTGTATGTATATATATATATATGTGTGTGTATGTATATATATATGTGTGTGTATGTATATATATATATGTGTGTGTATGTATATATATATATGTATGTATGTGTATGTATGTATGTATATGTATGTATGTATACGTATGTATGTATACGTATGTATGTGTATGTATGTACGTATACGAATGTATGTATACGTATGTATGTATACGTATGTATGTATGTATACGTACCCCCCGTATACGTATGTCTCCATAAAGACGTATGTATGTATACGTATGTATGTATGTCCACCTCAACCCGTATGTATACGTATGTATGTATGTATACGTATGTATACGTATGTATTAGTATGTATGTATGTATACGTATGTATGTATGTATGTATACGTATGTATGTATACATATGTATATATATGTATGTATACATATGTATGTATGT